ACTTAAAGACTCCATCTTTTGGACTGATAGTACTTCCGTAATGAAGTACATCAGTAGTGAGACCTTTAGGTTTCGAACCTTCGTCGCAAACAGGGTTTCAAAAATATGCAGTGTATCAAATCCATCTCAGTGGAGATATGTTCCCACCGCAAGCAATCCTGCCGACTGGGCTTCCAGGGGAGTCAAAGTGGAAATGCTCCTGAAAGATGACACATGGGTGTCTGGACCTCAGTTTCTCACTGGACCTGAAGAACAGTGACCTGGGAACCCTGATGGCTCTGAAATAGCACCAGAAGACCCTGAGGTCAAGATAAGTCTGAATGTGAACGCTGTGCAGGTTGAAAAAGAGATGGATGCTGTAACCCGATTGATCAATCACTTCTCTTCTTGGATCCACCTGAAGAAGACGGTTGGTTGGATCCTTAGGTTGAAAAACCTGCTGCTGTGCCTTAGTCGGAAGAGGAAGCAATTGAGTCTGACTCTTGCTCAGTCTGGCTTGAATAAGGAACAACAAGACCGAGAGATGAAAAAGGAAATGCAGACTATCAAGGCTCAGGTGGTCTCTGGTTTTCTTTCTATTGAGGACCTCCGAAAAGCTGAGAAAGAAATTATCTGCTTTTGCCAAAGAAAAAGGTTTCCTGATGAAATCAAAGGCTTGCAAAAGTGATAAGGTGTGAAAAGGACTGGTCACATCTACACGCTCAACCCAGTACTTGAAGATGGTGTTCTGAGAGTGGGAGGACGTCTCAGTAGAGCAGCAATGCCTGAAGAATCTAAACATCCTGCTATATTGGCAACGTATCACTAGGCCACCAGGGTGGGTGGAGGGGGTCAGGAGGGGGTCAGGAGGACAGGACTGAGCTGACCGCCCAGAGGCACAGCAGAGGACCAGGAAGGGATCTTGGGCGGACGGCCCGGGGGCAAGGCAGAGTTCAAAAAGGGGGATTCGGGCGGACGGCCCAGGGGCAAGGCAGAGTCTAAGGTGGGGGACTCGGGCGGCCGAGCATGAGGGCGAGGGCAGCGGCAGGAATAGTCAGGGGGCCGGGATCGCGGGCGAAGACCACGGCTCACAGAGGGCCGGGATCGAGGGCGAAGACCGCGGCTCTCAGGGGGCCGGGCTCGAGGGCGAAGACCACGGCTCACAGAGGGCCGGGATCGAGGGCGAAGACCGCGGCTCTCAGGGGGCCGGGCTCTCAGGGGGCCGGGCTCGAGGGCGAAGACCAGAGAGCTCCGGAGGCCGGGCAGGAAGGCGCTGACGGGCCAGCGCCGGAGGCCGGGCAGGACCCGGTGTCGGCCGGACAGGAACCGGAGCTGGTGGGACAGGCCTCGGCAGGATCCCCCACGGAAGAGGACACGGGATTGGCAGGACCCCCGGCGAGACAGAGGATGGCGGGGCCTCCAACGGAACAGGACAAGGGGTTGGTAGGACCCCCGGCAGGAGAGTAGACGGCGGGACCTCCAACGAGACAGGACAAAGGGTTGGCAGGACCCCCGGCAGGAGAGTAGACGGCGGGACCTCCAACGGGACAGGACAAAGGGTTGGCAGGACCCCCGGCAGGAGAGTAGACGGCGGGACCTCCAACGAGACAGGACAAAGGGTTGGCAGGACCCCCGGCAGGAGAGTAGATGGCGGGACCTCCAACGGGACAGGACAAAGGGTTGGCAGGACTCCCGGCAGGAGAGTAGTCGGCGGGGCCTCCAACGGCATAGGACAAAGGGTTGGCAGGACCCCCGGCAGGAGAGTAGTCGGCGGGACCTCCAACGAGACAGGACAAGGAGCTGGCAGGACCCCCGGCAGGAGAGTAGATGGCGGGACCTCCAACGGGACAGACATACGATTGGTAGGACCCCCGGCAGAGGAGTAGTCGACAGGGCCTCCAACGGAACAGTACATGGAGTTGGCAGGACCCCCAGCGGAACCTCCAACGGACGAGGACATTGGGTAGGGACTCGAGAGGGGACTCGAGAGGAGACTCGAGAGGGGAACCAAGGGGGAACTCGAGAGGGGACTCGAGAGGGGAACTAGAGAGGGGACTCGAGGAGAGACTAGAGGAGGGACTAGAGAAGGGAACTCGAGAGGGGAACTAGAGGAGGGACTAGAGAGGGGACTAAAGGAGGAACTAGAGAGGGGACTAAAGGAGGGACTAGAGGAGGGACTAGAGGAGGGAACTCGAGAGGGGACTCGAGAGGGGACTCGGGTAGGAACTTGAGAGGTGACCTGAGAGGGAACTGGAGAGGAGACTTGAGAAGGGACTTGAGAGGAGACTCGAGAGGAGACTGGAGAGGGAACTGGAGAGGGAACTGGAGAGGGGACTCGAGAGGGGACTCGAGTGGGACTCGAGAGGGGACCCGAGAGTGAACTGGAGAGGGGACTCGGGTAGGAACTGGAGAGGGGACTCGGGTAGGAACTGGAGAGGGGACTCGGGTAGGAACTGGAGAGGGGACTCGGGTAGGAACTGGAGAGGGGACTTGAGAGGGAACTTGTGTCGGTCGGTACGCCGACAGGACACGGGGAGCTGGCGTCGTCTGGGGAGCCAGCAGGAGACGAGGTGCTGGAGTCAGCCGGTACGCCGACAAGACTCGGGGAGCTGGCAGCGGCTGGGGAGCCAGCAGGAGACGAGGTGCTGGAGTCGGCCGGTACGCCGACAAGACTCGGGGAGCTGGTGTTGGCTGGAGAGCCAACAGGAGACGAGGTGCTGGAGTCGGCCGGTACGCCGACAAGACTCGGGAGCTGGCGTCGGCTGGGGAGCCAGCAGGAGACGAGGTTCTGGAGTCGGGACCATGACTGCTGGAGCCGGTACTTGAGCCGGAACCATGGCTGGAACTGGGGCCGGAACCATGGCTGCTGGGCCCGGTACTTGAGTCAGAATCATGGCTGGAACTGGGGCCGGAACCATGGCTGTATGGGCCAGCTCTGGTGCAGGGACCACGGTTGTAAGATCCAGTTCTGGAGCCGGAAACATGGCTGTAAGGTCCGGAGCTGAAGCCTGGATCATGGCTGTGTGGGCCGGTGTTGGAGCCGGAAACATGGCTGCTGGGGCCGGCACTGGAGCCGGAACCATGGCTGCTGGGCAAGGAACCGGAACACGGATCCATGGCTGTGTGGGGTGGTACTGGAGCACGGTACCATGGCTATGTGAGATGGTACTGGAGCACGGAACCATGGCTGCTGGGTCCGGCACTGGAGCCGGAACCATGGCTGTTGGGGCCTGTACTGGAGCCGGAACCATAGCTGCTGGGGCTCGGGCTGCTAGCCTGGCCTTGCGACGACTCCTCTTAGCAGCCTCCTGAATACTCCGTGGACCTCCATAAGCCTGACGAGTTCCGGAATACGACTCCTGGACAGGAGCAGGAACTGGGGCAGAAGCACGGGTTGACTTCAGGCGGAACCCACCAAGGCGTATGATGCCAGGTTGGGAATTGGGAGACAGGGAGCTAGCATGCCTGGAATCACATGCTTGAAGGAAGTCCAAAATCCAGTCAGGTAAAAACTCAACAAAACATAGTTTCTCTGGTGCCAACCGGAGCGCCTCTACCAGAGCGGCCCTCTTCTGCCGAACACTGGACGCTCCCTTCCACCAATCGAAGCAGCAAGCCAGATAGAAGGTTAAATGCTGTAATTCAACCTCCCATGGATCATCTGCTGGGTCCATTTTGTGGTCGGTTCGTTCTGTCAAGGTGTGTGAAGCAGGTAGGACCCAAATGCAGAATAAAGTGACAATTCCTTTATTTCAAGGCTAGGTGATAACAACGACAAAACAGAACACTCACCGACGAACAAGTCATGACAAAAGACGAACCGACAAAGACAGACAGAAAAACCAGAACTTAAATACACACAAGACTAATCACAGAAACAAGACACAGGTGAGGAGGGAGGAGAAAACACAGGGACACCAGGTGAACACAATCGGGTAAATTAGACACACCAGGGAAACTAACGACCGGGAACCACAGACAGATTTAAACAAGACACAACGCAGACAGAAACAGGCAAGACAGGAAGTGAAGACCTTTCAACATAAAACATGAAACAAGATAAGACAAAACACCATAAAGACAGATCGTGACAGAAACGATGGATTAAGGAGTACTTGCCTCTACTCCAGGAACGACAGAAGTGGTCAAATGTCAAGCGCAACTTCATACCAGGAGATATTGTGCTCATAGTCGATGACTCAGCACCTCGCAATTCATGGCTTACAGGAAGGATTGTAAAAACCATTCCAGACAGAAGAGGACTTGTACGTCAGGTGCGAGTTAAGACAAAAACTAGCTATCTGGACAGGCCTATCACAAAGATCTGCCTTCTACAGGAAGCAGAAGAGCCGTGAGAAAAGTAGTGGGTTATTGAACTTCATAGACCTTGACAATTACGTTTTTTCCGACTTTTACAAACTATATATATTTTTTTTTTCTTCTATTTTTTGCCTAAAGAAGAAAAGGACACTTTAACAAAGAACGTTTTTAACCTTAAAAGTGTTTTCCTTGATTGTCTCCTACATCATTTTTCAGTTGTGTAATTATTAGGTTGATATAATTAGGGGCCGGAATGTAGGAGCCACATTTGAAGTATTTTTTTGTGTTTGTTACGGTACATGTTTTTTGAGTCACTATAGGTGGTGGGCGTGTCATTGGTGATAGATGGAGGGGGAGTGAGCTGGAGAAGGACCATTTTACAAGAATACATACAAGAATATACGTATATGGAATATTGCATTTTTGCTTTGGAAATAAAAGGTCAAACGCATACTTTTGGAAAGACTGAGTTTTTGCGCGTCCACAATGTTTTTCTCTTGTTTTGTCCATCGATGCGCTTTGTTTGGAAGATTACTGCCGCAATAGGTATGTTATATACCCTTTTGACATTATAGTTTTTCTTTCTGTTGGAGAAGATGGTTATTCTCAATGACTTTAAATGTGTAAAAACTAAACAATGAAGACCCTCTTTATGTGAACACATGATGTGTGAGTGTGAATGAAGACCAGTGAGAGGCCTCTGCGATGAGCTGTGTGAAGCTGGACCTCACAGCTCCAAACCTGAATTTATTCCATTTCAACATGTACATATAAATTACAACCACAGAGATTCTTAGATTAAGTGTTCTGAGTGTTCTGTTAGTGATTACAGACAGTTAACAACATTACATCTTTACAGAGTCAGAACCATGAGAAACCTGCTGATCTGTCTCATACTGTCAGTCCTCACATCAGCTTTATCAAACCACATTAAAGGCTTCAAAATACTTCAAAAAGAACAAACAAAACTTTTGAAATACAGTTAGATTCAAGTTCTGTAAGAGACGTAAAAACAACATCAAAATGACTCTAACTGCAAACAAAGTAGGATTCATCTGATGAGAACCTTTCACAACCCTTCCTTATTTACACATTACATACAGAACGCATGGCTTCATTCACAATTATTCAAGAAAAGCTTGGAGCAGTCAAATCTGCAGTACAGGATGGAACAAACTGCTCTGCTATGCGTGTCCGATCATCCACTGTGATTTAAGGTAGCTTACTAATTCACATGTTTTATGCAAAACACATCAACAAATCTTGCATCAACATTAGATTTGAAAAATAACATATTGCAGGATAAAAAAGAATATGCTTCTTAAAATAACAAAGCAAAACAGCCATTAATATGACGTCATTACAGAAGATTTCCATGTGCAGTGAAAATAGGTACATATTTGTTTCTGAAATGAACACAAGCACAGAGGTGAAACTTTTAAGTTACTAAAAGGTTGAATGTACACATATCAAAGATCAGCCGGTTCCTAAGCAAGTTGTGTGTTTCATGGAAAAGCTACTTCCTTGTTCTTTGACAAACTGCCCTTACAGTGGTTGTTTTCTCCATTTTAAGAAGTAGTGCATGTGTTTAATAGATGTCCTCTTTTTAAAACTTGGTGTGTTTGGTTGCAGCCTGACTCCACTGTGGTGCTTAGCACAGTAGACCTGCAGGAAATGGCCCCTGAACATGAGAACTGCCCCTTGTTAGAGAGCAGTGTGTTCAGAGGTGACTTCATGCTGCAATAGTGGGTGTGTCAAATTCAACCAAATAAGTCCTTACAAATTCAACAATCCTGCCTTTCTCATCATCTTAACAAATGTATTCCATGAGTTTCCTCTGACGGCATGATCTTTCACTATGTTGCAAGAGAAAATACACATTAAGGAACTAAAACAAAAGGTGGGACCTTTCGGCAACAATCAGACTGAATGGATGCGTCAGGTCCAACGTTGCTAGCCAAAGCATCTCCAAAGCATCTAGCAACAACTGTGCTCTCATGTCCATGCTCGAGCTGGTTTAAGGCTCAACACATAATCATTTGATCAATGCTGGGATAGGAAATCCAACTGAGCTCATGCTCAGATTCTGATGTGTTCAGGCTTTATACTAAACACATACCCATCAACAGTATCTTAACAGTAATGACTGGTAATAATCAAATTACCAGTATCTTAAATGTGACAATACCAGATTTAAAACAGCAATATGTTAACTGAGATAAAGTATTTTACTTGTTGATACCTTTGCAGCTCATCATTTCTCACTAGCTCTGCCGTGTGTGCAATAACTGGCTTGAAATCATTCCATTTATAACACGTAATGCTTTCAAAGTAGAACCATCAAAGTCTGAAATCCTGCTTTCATTACACCCCAAAGTTGTAAAGACATGACATAAGCACATGAATAACTTTGCTATTCCTACTGTAGAGCTTCACCAGTAACACCTGTCTAAAGGAGGGTGCTAGAGAAAAGTTCATAGAAGCTTTAAAACTAAAAGGTCTCCCTTGAAAAAGAGATGGATGATCTCAATGGGACCACCTGGTTAAATAAAGGTTTGAAATGAAAAGGATTCCTCCATGATATTCTGGCCTGAGGTGGCACTGAAGGGAAGATCTCAGTGCCCAAAATGTTAACAAGTTACCCAGTAACAAGAATGAACTCTGCTCAGTAAATCTCATCTGCTCATTTGAATTTGATACTTCTAATGTTTTCTTATACTTGGGATGGTGGGACTGTGGAGCTATAAATAAAAACATCACAACAAGTCTCCTACGTACGTGAAAGGTCATTCGTTAACAGTACACACCACTCCGGGCTCTAACAGACAGTGGACTGACACCTCTGTCCTTAAATGGCACTAATGAAGCCAACATGAGAACTTGTATTCAAATCAAAGCCACATTTACTTTATTTACAATTTAAAACAACACACCATATTTATCTGTTTTTAAATATTACAATATTGTTTCAGTCACCACCTTTACCAAATTAACTGGACTTAGGTTTGGAACAAAAACTTCCTAGAGTGAGTGAGTTAGACATTATAGAGTGGTTCAGGAATGAGTCCTAAAACATGACTTAGCATTTTCCACTTCCAGTTCCCTCGTCTCCAAGTCAAAGGTTCATAGGACATGTTTTTATTTAGAAGCCTGAAATCATATCTGTGGTTACACAAGCTTTAGAGATGTTCTTGTTTTATTCAAAGATATAAATTAAGTCTGTAATTACGATACTTCAGCTTCTATGCGTCTTAAAAACAGCGGTAGCTAACAAGAGACTAAATAAACCTAAACATTATCATGCGGAGTCTGCCTTTATCTTAGCGGTGGTGACGGGCATTCATGTGACTGTGATGTAGTTCCTTTATAGCCAAAAACGTTTTACTTCTGTCAATAACATTTACACGACAAATATCATAAAGTGGTGTTAATATGTGGAGATGATCCTGCTGAACAGAACTTCTAAGTATCATGACTGTTTGTCTGACAGAGATTATCTTCTGCAATCATATGGAGACATCCCATTGTCTTTTTGTTGAGGGAGCCCTTGCGAGGCTAACTTCTGGGTTGGCCTACAGAAACACTGCACCACTTTCTAGAGTAGCATGCTATGCTCTGATTGGTCGGGGGATGAGTGTGTGTGTTTGGTGTGACAGTGTCCACCACTCATCTTATCTCCTAAAGGCCACATCTCTCTCAGTCTGTGTTTCGTTTGATCCTCCACATCTGGGTGTGTCTCAGGCTCCACCCCCCTCTCTGAGGTCAGAGGTCAGCCAGCATCAGAAGCCTCTTCTTATTTTATAGATGAGATGAAGTGGAGAAGCACAGTTTCAGGGTGTATGGGTTGGATCCATCTGAAACCACACACACACACACACACACACACACACACACACACACACACACACACACACACACACACACACACACACACACACACACACACACACACACACACACACACCACACACACACACACACACACACACACACACACACACACACACACACACACACACACACACACACACACACACACACACACACACACACACACACACACACACACACACACACACACACACACACACACACACACACACCACACACACACACACACACACAGACACAAACTATTGGACACCCTTGGCCAGGCAACATCACAGATACATGAGTAATCAGCCATGCCCTATTTCTTCTATATTTCTGTGTTGTGTCTTCATTGGTATTTAGTTAACAGTTACTTTAGTTAGTCAATGAAGCTGACTCTTTGAGGGGGATTTGTGTATTATGTCACATAAGTGTTATATTTTCTTTTTTTGTAAAGATATGTTTTGGGCCAGAGAGTGCCTTTATCAGAGACACAGTGTTGAAAGAGGGAGGTAACTAATGTGTGCTTTGCTTTCATATGTTAGCTTATTCTGTAGCAGAGGTGGGACCAAGTCATTGTTTTGCAAGTCCGAGTCAAGTCTCGAGTCTTTGCGCTCAAGTCCGAGTCAAGTCTCAAGTCAGGATGGGCAAGTTCAAGTCAAGTCCAAGTCCTAAACTTTGACAAAACGAATCTTAAACAAGTCCTTATGTGCTTTTCACCAAATGTAATGACATCGATCAACAGAATAATACTTAATAATCAAACTGCTCTTTATTAGTCACATTCATAATTTAATAATACATTTTCTCTCTGCTGGTAAAGTAACGTGTGTTTTTCTAATTTAAGAGGGATCAGTAAGGTAAGGCTACCGTGACGGTTTGATTCAGAAGGAGTTTAATGTATAAGATCCCTGATGTTGAGGTAACCAGAATGTTTATTTCCACTGTGTACAACATGTTGTAAGGGACCCACAATCTATCTTTATGCAAGGGATAATGTGCAGCGAGGCGGTCTCTATGGGGAAAAGAACACCTGCATCTAGATCCCTCTGCAGGTGGTACTTTAACTATATTTTGATGCTGTCTTAGGGAAGACAGCTTTTAGATGCGCAGCTCCTCTGTCTTGGAATAGTCTGCAACTGAAATGGAAACTGAGCAATCTGGTGCCACTAAATGTTTTTAAATCTCGGTTGGATGCTAGTCAATCGGAAGCTGTTGGTACCTGTACATGTGGATAGTTATGTAAATTGTAATCCCTGTGATGATGATGTAAGATGTCCTTTTGTTGTTCTGTTAATGTTTTTATGTTTCATGTGGAACTACTTGAGCAGGTCTCCCTTGAAAAAGAGTTCAATGATCTCAATGGGATTTATCTGGATAAATAAAGGTTTGAAATGAAATGATGCTAATACTTTTCTACTTTGAGTAACATTTTGAATGCAGGACTTTTTATTGTAACCGAGTATTCCTACACTCTGGTACTTTTACTCAAGTACAAGATCTGAACTTCTCCCACCTCTGGCAATAAATCCTGAGTGGTTGCCAAAAAAAAATCCCTGCTCTGAAGGTTATTTTCATTTTACAAATCCTGCACTCAGCTTTGCTTTCTCCAATATCATTGAAAAGCAGCCAGATGCTGCTTCTTTTTTCGGTTTTCGCTCATTTCTTGACTTTTCCCGAAGCGCATGTATTTAAATCCGGCTCCCCGTCTCCCCGTCGCTCTGTGCAGCTGGCCTGTACCACTACACATGCTGTGCCCCCCACCCTTCTTTCACATAATGGTATGATCCTAGTGTGTCCTCGCATATGATTGGCCGCATGGTGGCCCAGCTAAATAAAGACCCGCCCCTGCCTGCAAGGATTCTCAGCAAGAGTAGGAGCGGCTGAAGATTCTGCTTTCCCCGACGGGAGTCTGCTCTTCTAACGGCAGCTTGCGATCAGCGTGTTGGAGACCTCTGAATTAAAGTATCAAGTCACCTCAAGTCAGAAGGCTCAAGTCCAAGTCAAGTCCCGAGTCATTGGTGTTCAAGTCCAAGTCGAGTCGCAAGTCTTTTGTGATGTTGTCAAGTCGAGTCTCAAGTCATCAAATTGGTGACTCGAGTCTGACTCGAGTCCAAGTCATGTGACTCGACCTGTTCTGTAGTATTGCATGTCTTTTTTACCTGCTATGCCACTGTTGCTGTACCAATGTAAATGTCCCTGCTGTGGGAATCCCCAGTGTGTTTGCTCTAACCACTGGGCTATCCAGCAAACACTTTGACATTTATTTTCATCTGTGCAATGTCTCTTTAGTACATCTTTTGGTCTCACGTCTTTAATAGCCACATTTAAGGAATAAAATAGCATGTGTTTATGTCAATATGAATATCATAATGTATAAACCTTGCACATTTTAAAGATGTCAAATCTAAAAACATCTGTCATCATGTCTTTGTCCTTAAACATGTCCTCAGTTTGTCTCTGCTCAGCATATTAGGGTATATGGTCAAGTAGAATGGATGGAAGGGCTCATTCTGTATCTGTAATCACTTTAATGCTCTTAAGATCTATTAACAATATCACAAAACAAAGGGCGAGAACACCACAGATAAAACAGAGCAACACTCCGACACAGTCTGCATGTTGAAGAGATTGGGGTCCTGTAGGGGAACTCCGTCCTCCTCCCTATCATAATGTTCAGTATGTATTTTACCATGATGACTTAAATGTGCAACAAATGAACCATGTTCAAAATAAGTGGTCAAGTAATATGTGGCTATCAGCAGTATGGGGAGGAAATAACAAGGCTATACTTAATATACATAGATCTAACTTTCCAGTGCTATTACAATCAGGCTGAATGAGAAACTGAGTGTTTGAAGAAAGACTCACTGGGGATCCGGATCTGATAGTGGTTGAGAACAGTAAGAACCTCCACAGCCTCCGTCTTACTGTCAAACTCCAGCAGGCCAGAGATGGTCTTCGAGGAGGCTAAGGGACACACGAGAGGAGTGATTACAACTGCACACAACAGGGGGTTGAAGGTGAAACATCAGTTCACAAAGAGAAGTCAAGTAATGAATCATTTCAAAGACATTATAATCTTTAACAACAACTTTAACCTGAAGAAAGTTCTACTCACGTTTGGCATCAAACATCTTGAATTTGACAAATCCTGGCACGTCATGCTCCGTACACAGCTGCCCACACACACACACACACACACACACACACACACACACACACACACACACACACACACACACACACACACACACACACACACACACACACACACACACACACACACACACACACACACACACACACACACACACACACACACACACACACACACACACACACACAATATGAGGCAACACTTATGCATCTAATGCCAGAGATAGTCGGATTCGAGTGCCGATTTTCGGGACTCGTGACTCGACTCGGACTCGCGCACTGATTGACGCGACTCGGACTTGGACTTGTGAATTCTCGCGCACGATGACTCGGACTCGAATTGTACATTGACGCTCCGACTTGGACTCGGACTTGAGCAAGTTTTCTCTGGAGTCTGATGTCCTCTATCCTGGCGTGTGCACCTGCGAGGCGAGTTCACGTACTGGGCCCCGCTATTCCAGTCTAGAGATGTCTAGAGACACACCCCGCATTGTGCTGTATGCTTTCACACATTCTGCTTCCACATTGGAAAAGAGCAGCGCAAAATGCTCGTTATGTGGAAACAATATTGAAGAGAAGGCTCCGTAACATATTACTCTAAGGATCGAGTTCAGACATGGCTGTGTTGAATCAGAGTAACGTGATCTAATCAATAAATACAGATTCAGCCGATAACACGAAATCACATGGCTACTTAACATGCAGAATGACATCATTTTGCATGCTAAGTAGCCATGTGCTTTCTGGGGCTAAATCTTTATCAGTAAACCGATTTAACCGGTAAAGTTCCTTCAAAATAAGAGTCCCGATCTTATTACTATCAAAATAAAAGTGCACTATGAAAACTTTACCATAGGAAAATATTGGCATACAAATATAATCACTTCTCTAAAAGGAAACTCATTTTAAATATAGTTTATTTATATATAATTACAATAATATTGATATTAGTAATAAGCTTTATATTTGTATAGCACCTATTACAAGAATTGTAGCCAAACTGGCTTCACTGCAGTTGAATAGACAGATTAGTATAACATGACAGGATAAAAGCAATGTAGAGGAGCAGCTACATTTCAACACATATATCCACGAAGATTAATAAATGAAGACTTGTGACTCGGACTGGACTTGGACTCTTCTTAGGTGACTTGGACTTGGACTCGGACTCGAACACAGGTAATGATGACTCGGACTCGACTCGGACACTCCTTGGTGACTCGGACTTGGACTCGGACTTGAAGAGTGGTGACTCGAGAGTGACTTGGACTCGTGAATTGGTGACTTGACTACAACACTGCTAATGCACAACTTGACTGATGGTGTAGCCTTATGTGGAGGGGTGTTTAACACACACACATGTCCACCTGTCCCCAGCAGCACTGAAACTCTTCTTTCTGCATCATGACATTGTGTGAACATCAAATATTACCATGCTCATTTAACCACTACTTTAAATAGTCCTAAACAACATTTGCCCGTATTTCCTAAATCAGCCTGTTTTTAAAATATAAGTGAATATCTAACAAAATATATTATGGCAACATTTACAAATAGATGTTCTCTTTATGTACATATATCTGATTTATATGTGCATATTTGTTATTTATATATTTTGGGCATTGGTCATACATTGACATACATATCGCATTTGTATTTTTAATATACATATGGCCTTTCTGTACCAGCTTTATGGTAAAACTAATGCATAATTGTGTTATTCTATTTGGGGACACTTCAATACATTTGAATGATAGGCATAGTTTAGTTTGGGAGATGTCAAGAATCCAGGCCTGGCCCAGAATATGAAGAATACAAAACTGGTAAAGTAAGAGCTGTTGAAGTGTAGTAGAGGGACAGAGACACAGAGACTGACAGGCATGTCAGAGGTTAACTACTTTCCCTGGATAGAAGAGTGGAGCAGCATACCCTCAGTAGGTGGTCCTGCGATATGCATGGAGGGACGTTGTAGTAGTGCAGCACTGCAGACGGAGGCTGGATGATGTTTTTGGACGCCTGCCCCGCGCTGCTGAAGCGGTTATTCCTGGTCATGGCAAAGTCCTTGTAGCTGCTGCTGCCGTCCTCCAACTCAAACACCTGACTGGGGATCACTGCGTGCTGCTTAGACACACTGCACACACACACACACACACACACACACACACACACACACACACACACACACACACACACACACACACACACACACACACACACACACACAACACACACACACACACACACACACACACACACACACACACACACACACACACACACACACACACACACACACACACACACACACACACACACACACACACACACACACACACACACACACACACACACACACACACACACACACACACACACACACACACACACACACACACGTGTTGCATTAGGGCAGGGGTGGCCAACCAGTCAGAGGTTAAGAGCCACATTTTTTCTATTTTACTGCAAAGAGCCACATCAAACACACAGTCACTGATACCGCTTGTTTCAGTTTTTTGTTTTCTGGAGACAAGATTTCAACCACGTCACTGATGCATTTTTGTGGCATTGGGATATTTTTTTTTTAAATCCTCTGGAGCAGAGAGAGGAGCTGTGGATTATTGTTATTGATTAATGCATCAGTGTTTCTTAGGGTCAAAAACACTAAACTCACAACTTAAAATGAAAGTGTTTAGTTTATTTAATAAAAGAGCACATGTTCAATGTTAAAAGTGACAGTAGTTATAGATTATTTGCAATTTGGTGCTATATATATATTTAAAAAAAATAATAATTATATATATTTTTTAAACACCTTGAATTTCAGGGGGGGGGCACGGGGCTCCGTTGGCGGGGCGCAGCGCCCCTCCAAGACAATGGTAGGGGAAACACTGGATAGTGTTTAATCAACGATAGGTTTTCCCCCCCTCAAAGGTGATTGGTTCACTGCATCACAGGTATTATTGTGATTGGCTCTTGGGCCACATCAAAATTAGACGCGCTGTCATCCTCTCATACTGACACCACACATACACACGTAGGGAGAGCCGGGACGAAAGTAACACGGGACGAAAGTAACACGGGACGAAAGTAACACGGGACGAAAGTAACGGAGCGATTTTATCCGAGCCCAAACAACTTTGACCGGCCAAATTACGTCAGAATGATCAGCATTCAATACTTAACAGACCTACTAAATATCAGGTTTAACTGTCAGGAGTAGCTAGCTAGTGTTGTCACGATACCAACATTTTGGTTTCGATACCAAGTCAAGAATTGCGATTCCGATTCTTTTTCGATACTTTTCTTAAAAAAAGGGAAACAGTCTTAAATGTAATTATTGTGCTTTATTTCACACCAGAACCATAACCATAACACACACTTTTAAACAATGAGAACAATAAATAAAAGAAATGACAAGAATTCGTATTAAATCAAATTAATACATTTCTTACAGACAGGCCTCGTGGTGTCCGTAGGCTTGCTCTCACTCTCAGAGATATCGCTAAAATACTTCCAAATGTCACTTCTGGCGTCTTTTTTGTCAACAAACTGAGGCGCAGCGGCAGCTGCACTCCCACTTGCAGCCATGCTTCTCGTTTTCTCACGTGCTCTGGCAGCTAGCGCGTGCACGAGAGAGGGGAGGCACTTTAGCGTGCTTGAGAGGGGCGGGACTGCAGGCACGGCTGCAGTGCAGGGAGTGGAAGCAGAGCGCTGAACACACACGGCTCTTATTAAACGGCGCTTTCTCACCGGAGTACTTTTCCCCGTCATTCTTAAAGTACCGATACTAATGAAACGGAGGAATAGTAACGTTTTTAACGGCAGGGTATCGCGGTACCTTTCAAGTATCGGTACACCGTGCAACACTAGTCAGGAGTCAGTGTCTCTCCCCCAAACTCACACATATACAATTCGATATGAACTGAAGAGCCGCATGAAACTAGGCAAAGAGCCGCATGCGGCTCGAGAGCCGCGGGTTGGCCACCCCTGCATTAGGGTTAGGTGGTATAACTCTGATTTACACAGATATGAAACATTTAGGATGTATTCAAATATTGTGTGTGTGTGGACCTCCTTCCTACCAGACATTGAGTCTCTTGCCAAACACCTTGATGGAGTTGAGGTGTGTGATGGCTCTGTCCACAGCATACTCATCTCCCATCTCCACCAACGCTGTGCCAGGAACACTCTTCATGAACTTCACCTACAAGCACACATGCACGCACACACCGGCATTCACACACACACACACACACACACACACACACACACACACACACACACACACACACACCACACACACACACACACCACACACACACACACACACACACACACACACACACACACACACACCACACACACACACACACACACACACACACACACACACACACACACACACACATGCTCTTAACTGAAACTGTTAAATTGCATCATTATTAAAAATAACTTTGAGAATACAAAACACACCCACCTTCTCGATGTTTCCGTAGAGGCAGAAGAGGTTGAAGATGCGGGTGCAGTTCATCTTGGATGAATGGAGGCCGCTTACCATGGCAACAGAGCTGGGGGTGTGTCCAGAGTAGGAGGAGGAGGACTGTGGCAGAGGGTAGGACACCATGTCTGGGACATCCACCGAGCTCATCTTGTACCTGCTGCTGCCAGGCAGAGGCAGCAGGGGGCAGGGGGGGCCTGAGGAGACACTGCAGCTCAGATTCACCCCAACCAGTTCACTGGCAGTGAGGAGAGCAGCGCTTCCTATGCTAGAGGGGTCCCACTGTTGGGACCCCCTTATAACCTCAACTCAGTGAATCCCTCTTTTTACCTGCTATGTAGCAGAAAAGTATTTTACTCACTCACTCACATATTTTAATTATATCACAGTGTGATTCCTACTTAATGTTTATATCTATTTACTGGCTTCCAAGTCCTTGCTAAGCTTGGGAAATGTCCTTATTAAGAATATGTGTTAATGTTCTTCAGGGACGTGCACAGGTACGGGTTATTGCTGCCCGGGCAACGGCCCGTTTGCCCTGACCTGCCCCTCTGGAGAGAGCGCGAGTTTTATTTTTCTGTTGTGGCCGAATCAACATGATAAGCCCACAATTAGTATTGTAGCGTCTCGCTGCGATAAAACACACCTTAGAGGTTTCTCAATTCTCAAATTTCCCCTCCTCGACTCCCATCCTCGACTCCTATCCTCGAGACTTAGTCCCGCCCACAGGAGATGCGAGCGGAGGACTGAGGAGGGGAGCCGAGGAGAGAGGAGGGGAAGCAGCAGGCGGTTAGAGAAATGAGAACTCCTCTCCTCTGAGCGGTCATTTTAAAGAGACGTCCATTAATGATGACAGGAGGCACAGCAGCCCTCTGTCTGATGGACAGATGTGTTCATGATGACTTATATATTTACTTTGATTCATTCACAGTGCGGTATAATGAGACAACAGGCTACAGATGCGGACATATGCACACACATATATATAAATATATACAATTTCAGAATCAAACAAGTATGAGAGCACTCTCATAATAACGTAACACAATCAGAGACTGGATATATATATATACCCCCCCCCCTCCCCCTACCCCTCTCTCTGGTCGCTGAAATGGGGAATTGAGATTACGGGCAAAAAGTTGTACAAGTATTAAAAGTAAGCAGAGGACACCAAACCAACTGAGACCTGTCTGTCCGCCGCATCTACGCACTGCACAACACACACCTACACACTGTAACACACACACACACCTACACACTGTACCACACACACACACCTATACACTGTACAACACACACACCTAGCTCCTAAAGCATAATCAGGCTACAGCCGTTGTGTATTTTATTATGTGAAGCACTAAATGGTCTTAGAAAAAATATCGACTCTTTGTTTGTAGATATCTACTAAACTAAAGCAAATAAAAAGAGTAGGCCTGTTATACTGAGTGATATATATTTTACACACTGCTCTGCTTTCTGCATGGACCTCACAGCTGTTCTCACTGGAAACATCGCATTGCGATGAAAGCAGTTTCTAAAATAATATCCAGGGGATGCATGCAGAGCCGTCATTGGCTGAGATAACTCCGGCCGTGCGTCACGCCTCCACCGTTCCCGGAAATGCATCCGCGGAGGAGCCGTGGAGGACCTCTATAGCCTCATCCCAATACCCCTCCTCGACTCCTTCTTTCCCTCACTCGCTTCTCTTCCTTGCGTCTTAGCTCCGCCTCCGTAAGATGCGAGCGAGAGACACGAGGAGGTGACGCGAGGACAGAGGAGTCCTCAGGTATTAATTGGGATGTCCTCGTTCACTCAAACGTCACTTTTAAACGACGTCTGTTAATGATGACATGTGCACAGCTGTATCCCCTCTCATCGGGCTTAACTGAATAATCCTTTAGAACCGGCCCATTTGTTGTTAAATATGTATTTAAATGAATGAATCTTTCTCTTGTTAGTCAAGGAATTCAATGTATGATAGTTGGTCCTGCTTTTGTGTTCCGTTTTGGTGTAAAATGTAGCCTACATTTAAATACAAATATAATTATAGTAATGTGAAAGCCTTTTAGAAATGAATTGCACATAATAATTCCCACGGAGCTGTGAGCACTTATACATTTATGTGACGCTTTTACACTCATCTTCCAGTTCTCCATTTTCCTCTGTTGAAATCGACCAGCTGTGAAGGTGGGGGCGGGGCTTTTATACGTGAGTAGTGAAAGCACTTCCGCTTAGTCTGCTCACATGTATCCTCCCTTTCGTCTCCTCCCGCACCCCTCCTCCCTCACCCCTCCTCGACTCCTCCGTGTGCATTTCAGCTATTGGGACGTCCTTCAAAATGGCGTGTCTTGTTCGATTTCCGGGTCAAGTCCCGGAGGAGGGTAAGAAAGGAGTCGAGGAGGGGTATTGGGATGAGGCTTATGTGGAGGACCCATCAGTGTCTCCTCGGTTATAGCTGCTCCAGAGAGCTTCCTCGATGCTCGATGCTCGGTCCTCGAAGTGCATTTAGAGAAATGAGATGTCCTTCAACATGGCGCGCTAAAATTCATTTCCGGGTCACTACCGGAGGACCGAGGAGTCGAGGAGGGGTCATTTGAGTATTGAGAAACCTCTCTTGTCAGCGCTGTCATCTTAGCTGTACACTTTACGAATATAATAGTTTTTTATGGACAACTTTACCATTCAATCTCGTCCATCTGATCTTGCAGCTGTCACTCCTCGGCTCTTGGTAGTTCATGCATTTATCAAACCTGGCAACTCCGGGCTTCCTGGCAGCTGTCAATCAAAGTCCAGTGGCTCCGCCCCAAAGTGCCAGAAACTTTTCACACGCACGTAGACACACTCGAGCGAGTGAAGCTGACACTCCCGTGAGCGAGCAAGAGGGCTCTCTCTCCTCGCGGGGGTTTAATCTGCACGCGAGGGTCATTTTAGGCGCGTGTAAAAGCACATTTTCCGCTCGTGAGTAGCTTGTTTTACGCGCTAGAATATTGATCCAAATCTGACTCCATAGCTACATGTTGGCTTATCTGGCACCCGCAGCTCACAGCCAAAGTGCGAGTGAGCGTGGGGGCGAGCAAGGGAGAAAGGGAGGGCGCTGTTGTTATTAGCATCTGGTGCTAGCTGCTCTAACGGAAGAAGAAGATGTTTCTACAATGATGTGGAGGGAGAGTCCTCTCCAGTCAGACTGAGGCTGATAACTACAGCTCAGTGAGGTAAAGGACTCTAAGTGTTTAGATAGTTCAATTTAGTCTTAGTTATCTCAGTGGGTCTCAAACGTTTTGATCACAATTTATGTAAACACATATTTCCAAGGTACTCCTTTATAATTATTGGGATAAAACAGGTTTGAAATCATTCCAATGTATACTATAGGACAGTAAACCAGACATATCGTTTTAAACTGGAGAGATACAAACATATACATTAATATAATAGTAAAATAAGATATGAATGAACAACAAAAATAAAATACGTTACATGTATTTGTTATTGGCTATGTGTAACGGAGGTGATCTCTGGGGCCATAGATCTCGGCCTCCGTTACGGATTATGTAACTTTGTTGGTGGCGAAATGTAGGTAGTGTGTGCATCTGTATGTGTTTTAGTTTGTCTGTCTCTGTTTGCTGGTTTTATGTTAAAAGTGTTCCCTTTCCCCCATGTCTGTGGCTGTTGATTGTGTGCACCTGGTGCCCTGTGTTGTCTCCTCCCCCCCCCCACCTGTGTCTAATTGCTGATTAGTGTGTGTATTTAGTCCCTGTTGCCCTGTCTGTTTGGAGGCTGGTAGTGTGTGGGAGATCCCTGTGGTTGGTGACGGTGTGCACATGGTCAGCAGGATTGAGGCTGTGTGTCATGTGTTCATGAGTTAATAAATGCCCACACCGGGTTGTATTTGGACATTCTGCCTCTGCCTCCTTGCTTGGTCGGGCCGCTCAATTGTCAGCTTCACACTATGGTAGGTTATTGGTTATGTTTACATACTTATTTGATTATTAAAATGTAAACCGATCTTTTTCATATGGGTGTTTAGAGTTGTACCCCCTAGATCTAGTCTCTAGTCATTCTGCTTAAAGTGCACCAGATTGAAGCATTTTACTTCAAAATGTTCAAACATTTCTTCCCGGTATGCCTGAGAAGGCAGATACGCTTGTTTTTCTCAACAAGAACTGTTTTTAAATGGTTGGACTGTTGCACTGTTGTAGCTTCAGTGGTTCTCAGGTTACAGTTACACAGCAGTGAATATAAACAGACTGATCAATGTGAATATTACTGTAAACTAACCTGTGTAAAAGTTTCTCGAATAAATGTAATTTTTTTTGGTGGAAGAAGCATGTATCATTTTTTTACCCTGCCCCTCAAAGAATCGGAATTGAGAACCGTTAAGAACCGTGAATGTAGAGAGGGACCAACAAGCCCTCCTGTCTTCACATAACTCGCAGAGACGGCATTTAACCCTTCACATTCCAACATAAACTGAACAGGCAGATTCGAAGGATTTATTTCTTTGGAAATATTATTTTAAATACAATTAAATCAAGTTATTTTGGTAAAACTAATGAAAAATGTAACAACATTGTTGTTATATGTTTTCAAATATATATTTTTTAAATATCTTGGGGCCTAGAGGGCCATGACGGCTCGCCACTGGTTATTTACAAAAAAACACCTAAATATACTTGTCGGTGAATTCGCCCTGTCTTTCCGGAGCTGCGGCCTCTGCTGGGCCCGCTGGCAGCTCCTCCTGCCCGACTGACTGCTCTCGGTCCGCGAGGTCCTTTCCGATTATCAGACGGCAGTCAAAGCAGCCAAAACAGAGTATATTTCTCTGTTAATCTCCAAAAACAGCCATAAACCTCAAGTTCTTTTTAATGTCCTCAATTCGATCATTAATCCTTGTGATGCTTCTCAACTACTCTCTGCGATACATTTCTTACATTTTTTATCGAAAAAGTATCTGCTCTTAGGCTAGCCTATACTAGTGCTACCCCAGATTCTGCTCCCTTTCTGTGCCCTGCTGTCCTCGACCATTTTGAGCCTGTATCCCTCTCTTCTCTCTCGGAAGTAGTCAAGCACCTGCGGCCGACAAACTGCACCTTAGACAGCATTACCTCTCGCTTCCTTAGAGATGTTTTTGAATCAGTTGGAGCAAGTGTTTTATTGCTTGTAAACACCTCTCTTAGCTCAGGATGTGTCCCAGCTG